TGAAAACTTTCATTGGATACAATACGTGAAGTTTGTAGCATCATCATAATACTATGTTGAGTTATACATAGAAGAGTGAATATAAATAAGAAATTAATCATTGATACTATAACAATAAATATATAATATGAGATTTAATATCAGTTCGAGAAAAACAAACTATTCATTAATTATGCGAATGTAAAAATGGACTTTGTAACTATAAATCGTTTCAAATATCATATCAAACAACCGAGTAACAAAAGCAAACTTTTAAAAAAATGGTTTGACTATTGGAAATCGATGAACATACATTTACAATAATCGTGAAAGGTTTTGTTATTAGGCGAAAATTATCTAAACATGGATCCTCTAGTATTTTATTGTAATGACAAATCGAGCGCGATGAATCTCGATCACCAGCAGTAATCAGGACTTGATCAATTACATACAAAGGAGCTAGAAAGTCAACATAGACTTTTTTTGTTCTGATAAAGATATTCAACATTAATTTGTCTTCGAATTTTCTCCAGAAAGTTGTCTATTCTAATCAAATATTCTCTAAAAATGTCAAGATTATAGGCATTGGTAAAGTAAAGACCTATGCGAAGACTTTCCTGGATAATGGAAACTTTACTACGCCTTAGAATCATCGAAGATTGAACGCTTCTATGTGTAACACAGTAAAAACAAATGAGACTATATTTCTCAAAAAAACAAAGAACGAATATTAATGCTTCAAAATAATAGCAGTCAAGGAAAAATCAGTGTTTTTTTCTAAATCCAATTGACTTCATGTTGATACTTACGATCAGGATTCACCGAGCTCTATTTCCCATTAAGATATCAGGCAAAACTATTCAAACTTAAGTACATTTTACCGCATATTAGGACTTTTGACGACTACGATATCTGAATTTTTTTACAGATAAAAATTTCGACATAATAATAATAGTAATACTCCTTGGAAAGAGATACTTTTCTCTGGCTAGAATAATTTTCTTATATTAAAAAGTCAACCATTTGTCAAAATATATCGGATATTATTCAAACCGAAAAAAGTGTCATTTTCATCTTTCATTAAACGTCCACATTGTTGTCCATTGTACGTATGCCATTTGTATTTCAGTTGGCGAGCTAACCTCTTCAGTTGCCTCCTTCCGATTTCAATGAGTTTTTTGCCTATTGATATTACATAGGGTTCTCACAAAAGTCCTAAAAAGCTTTTGATTCCTATTAATATTTGACTAAGCTATTGAGATTTTCATATGCCTATTTTCTTGATGTCTCAGGTTTTCGGAAAACTCATATTTTCAAATGAAAACTTATGCATTTAGAGAACTGAAATAGACGAGCTTCTTAAAAACAATTTAGAAGTTTTTCCAACAAAATCTCTTCGCGATATGAGACTTTCAAGACATAGACTCTTATTCATGGAGAGTCTATACACTATGCATTTTTTGAAAACTTCATATATCGAAAAGACTCATTCGAAAATTCTCTATCTTTTTCTAAGTAAAGCGAGCATAGTTGAGTTCTATATATGCACAAAGTTTCAGATCAAAATTCGAGATGCGAGTTCTTCGAAAGCCTGGAACATCTACAAAATAGACATATTCAAAATTCGATAGTTTAGTTAAATATCAATAGCAACCAAAATCATTTTACAGTTATTATTAGAACTCTATGTAATATCTATAGGCAAGAGATCATTGAAATCGAAAGGAGATAACTGACGAAGTTTCCTTGTTTATTTATTTCATAAATTCAAAAGTTTGAAAATAACCTATGTAGTTAATAAATAGCTTCATATCTACCTGGTTTCATTTTAATCTTCTCATTTTACATAATAACATACACATACGAGAAACAAAAAAAAACACATCGTATCATACATTCTTTTATTTTTCTTGCTACAACAAATCGAAAACAGATGTGTATTTCTTTTCACTGTATTCTTCAACATAATGAAACAATCAGTAATCGAAAAAAAAAGCCAATTATTTATTATAGGATATATATTATATAGATAAATATATTTGTTTATTTATTTGATAACACCTGCCGACTGTGTAGGTCTTTTCAGAACTCTATATTGTGATGTAAAATCTTTATCAATTAATTGAGCTGCTTCAATACGTGTTCGTTTAACAGATTTATGATCTGTTTGATTTTGTAATGTTTTTTGATATAATGCATTAGGATTAGATACTTTTTGTGTAGTAATAAGTTTATCTTGTGGAAGTATTCGAGAACTTGATGTTATTGTCGATGATAGAAAAGAAACTGAACTAGATTCAGATCGTTGTGTTTTCATTGGATTATTTGAATTCATGGTAGGTCCATTGAGTATTGTTAACATTGGTTTTATACGATGTTGATTCGGTAAATGTTTTTTGATTGGTGAAGTTTTTGGTCGAAGAAAATTTTCACTGAAATTTATTATTGGTTCAACCGGTTCTGAATCATCATTATTAAGTGATAATAGTAATGGTAGATCTGTTTCGGAGGAACTTTCATCTGCTGAAACTTGCGGTTGATGTGTTTTAGATTTAGATTGTTCATTCTGTTTTATCGATTCTAAATGAAAAATAAAAAGAAATATATGAAATATAATAAAGATTTTTTGTTTTGTAGAACAACAGATAAGAATGTACAAGAACGCATTTCGATCCCTTTTCATTTTCAAATTCCAAACTAATTACATCATATATAGAATCAAATTTCATAATTCTCTCATCATTTTAATGCATAAATCAAGATATTTTGATTCAATTATAAATTTAAACAGAATGTGTCTTAACGATATACTATATGGGCAGTTAGTTATTAATACTAGTCAACAATTTGAGCATTTGTTCAATTGAAAACAGATAAACATCACGAACTATTCAAAGTTATTCTGATAGCTCCTTGTTCAAGTTATATTTTTATAATAGAATCGTTCATTTAATATAATGTCATGTGTGCTCCACTTGTCCTTCAATTATTCTGTTAATGAAACTTTCTCTTTATTTCATTCATTTCGTATTCGATAGATCCTTTTCAACACATTACTGTTTACAGTCTAAAAAAAGTGAATCATATCAAAAAGATATTTAATCTACGATTATTGATGTGCAATTTTTAATGTTTTCGACTGATATTTAACGGTTTTCAAGTAGGATCATATTCATTTCACTGTAAACAAATTTCATATTTGGAATTAGCATAAGAAAAAATGAGTCAACCAATGTATGTTTCAAACTTTTTTTACGATGTTATTGTTTTCTGATCAAATTTTTGTCCGTAGACCTCCTCAGGGATGTGCGGAAAAATGAATTCAATCAAAGAGTGATTACCACAGTAGCAAACAAACTCTAGACTTGTAAAATGTTATTTTAAGATAAAAAACAGGTGAATAAAATAATTGTTTTGATTGAATTTCTTTTTCCACATATCCCTGGTAGCCCAAGGTAAAATTTGATCAGGAATAAAATATACATAGATTGGCTCATTTGTTTTTGTGCTGATTTCAAATATGATATTTACTTAAAGTGAAATTAGTATTTATCTATTTAAAAACCGTTAAATATCAGTCGAAAAAGTTGCACTTCAAGAATAATGAACTAAGCATTTCATTATGGAATTCACTTTTTTTTTTGGACTGGAAAAAATAGTGCGTTTTTGAAAAGGTCCATCGAATTCTAAAATGAATTGTTTCATTAACAGAATAATTGAATGACAAATGGAATGTACATTGGTACTTCAAATTCAAAATACAAGTAATGGACTTAGATATTTAAAAAAAGAAAAAAATTATTCTATGAAAAAGAAATATATGAATTTGGCGTAGGAGTATCTAAAGATTTTTACAAACATTATTAATAAAGGATTTGATTTCTTGTGAAACAAAAATTAATTAGAAGTTGAAACCATGATTATGACTTGGATAAATAACAGTATTGTATATAATTTATTTCTATTTTAAACAAATATGAAAGTGATTTTTTCGCGAAGAAGCCAAATAAATCTGAGAGAAAAAGAAAATGTTTTGTCATCTATTTTATAAAGTTATGTCTAAAACAAAAAAGTCAAAAATTATCAAACCTAAAGAATTCTTAGTTTCATCTTGTTCTATTTCATAACCGTATGGATTTTTCCATAATTGATACGATTGATTTGGTTTAATAAGTCGTACAATATTTGTATAACGATATCTTAAATTTTGTGCTTGTCGTTGTAAACGAGCTAAATTTTCTCGTAAATCATGATGCATCAAATTAATATCACGCTGTAAACGACGATGTTCAAGCTTATTAAGACGCATTGCTTGAATTTGGCATTCACTCAAAACAGCTCCACTTCTCATACTCTTCTTCATATTTGATTTGTGACTTTTCTTCTTTCGGGTTTTTTTTTTCTTTTCCTCTTATTTGATTAGGTTGTCAAATTGAAAAAGAGAAATCTTATAAAAATATTTTATTAGATGTTTGTCATGTTTTATAAACACAATCAATATGATTGGATTGTATCCGTACGTCAACTGAGATGTAACAGGTGATCGAAAAGTAATTTGACAGTGTTCATTTAGTTTTTTCAATCTCTCAAAAGGAGTCTGCAGGAAATCAAAAAGATTGAGTTAGAATCAAAATTTTGTGTTGTGTCTAAATGTGAGTTCAAAATTTGTATAGAATTTCAGTAATAGTCTGCTTTGTCACATATGTTACATTACCGATTTTTTTGCATAGAATTAAAGGCGGAACGGTTCTCTACAAATTAATGTAACAGTTTTAGAACAATCATTCAGGAATGGCTGAGTTCACTATGCAAGTTTATTTATCGTAGAAATCGAGTTATATTGATATGGTATACCTTACGAAAACACTTACCATCAACAAATGTCTTGCAGCAAACTAATCATTAATATATCATTTTATAGAGACATATTTGCTTGTTCATTCGATTCATTAAACATAATTGTCAATTTTACTTTGAGTGATTTTCCAGCATACAAAAAAAGTCAGCTCATAACTCATAAACCAGAAGCCCTAAAATGGTTTTGAAGTCATATACGAAAAGAATACAAATTTTTTATACTAAGTCAATGTTTTCAAAATTTCTGCAGGTTCCTTTAAGAGACTAAAGAATAAAAGCAAAAATCTATTGATAGAAGATAAAGAATGATAATATCAATATATGCAACACGATATTAACTTTAAAAAAAGGTTGATTCGTATTAGAAGTAGAAATTTGGATAAAGTAAGGATAGAATAATTACATCAAAGCTCGTTTATTGAAAGGTCGACATATTTATCATGTATTCAAACAAGTTTTTCCACAAATTTCAATTAAACTTATTGATATTTTTTAAGCATCTATTTTGCAATTTTATTCTTCGACAATCCATTTTATATCGTATATACACTTTGGGTATGGGATGATCGCACTGTATTGATACTATCTCATGAAATCTTCCAATGGATTTTATTGTAATTTAATGGATTTTAAAAATAAACAATATTTTTTCTAATTGTCTGCCAACAAAGGCACATCATATGAATTTAGAATTCTTCACATTTTTCTGCGTACATTTATGTTTTAAGTAATATTCAGATGAAAATGATTTGGTTTGATTTAATTATTCTAAACAATGATATCATCTAAAATAAATGAATTTTAATTAAGGCTTCAATATATTCGGAAAATCTTTGTAGAAAATTATTCTCATTAGTTGGATTTTCGAAATAAGACAAAATTCTACGATAGCTATAACATTAAAATATTCATCAGTAGAGTGTTCGGAATCATCAGAAATATTAAATTCATTGCCCATGTGATTCAAATTGACGGTGTAATCGTTCGGTATAATGTGTGTTTTACCCACAGTCAATCAGCAGTGTTTGATACTTCAACGATCGACTATTTTTCGACCGCGACTTTACCGATATATATAAATTAGAAACTGAAACCGAATCGAATTATTCGACTCAACAACAATTTCTTCATTAACTCTCAAACAATAGCAATAAAATTTAATTCCGTATTAGAATCTCCTACTTCAATTATTGTTTATGTTTTCAGTAGGGATGCATCAATTCCAATTCTAAACTCGGCATCCCTAGTTTCCAGTAAAAACGTCAATTTCTACGGATTTATAATAAAATTAATAATTTCACAGGAAACAGATACATGTACAATTGTTTTCATGACTACTTCTCTTGCTACATATCTAATAAGTTTTATGCAGTATTTACAGCTACCGATGTTTTGCTCCATTTTAGTCGACCTATGGATAGAGTTTTATTATTAGTATGGTAGGTGTTAGCTAAGTTGATAACATGATCAACATTAATGTTATAAATAAGTATATATTTGATCATTTATTACTCTTTTACATAGTTTAATTCACTGATTTTGAAAAACTGTAAGATTTTTTAATTCAAAGGCTGCGAAATTGATCCAGTCAAGATTATTGTTTAATAACTGCAGTTCAGATCTGGAAATAGAGATAAAGTTCGACTGAAAATAGAAGTTAGTTTACTTCTTTTCCTAATATATGCGTCGTCCTTCAAGGTGACGATAACTATATTAACATTAATTATGCAAATTCAGAAACTACTACCTTCACTAATTGATAATAAGCAAAGAAAATATTTCTTTTTATAATACCTAAGTTCTAACTTGTATTATAGCTTCGCTTTGACTATTATTCAACAGATTCTTTCAACAGTGATTTTTCAAGTAAAATTATTAGTAAATAAAAAGGCGCTAATTTTAATTGATAAATTATTCTATTTTGTAAATTTATTTAAATAAATTAGATATGACTGTTGAAGATTCTCGTCCACGAAGTGCATCAAAATCTAAATTAAATAGTATGACAACAAGTGTTGGTCGTTTTTATGAAAAAAGACATCAATTATATGGTGCTCTTGATCAATATAGTAAAGCTTTATCATCGAATCCTGATGATACAGCTACTTATATAGATCGTTCACGTGTTTTTCTTAAAATGGGAAGTATTAATAAAGCTCAAGAAGATACTGGTAATCAATATATAGAAAAAAAAGAGTCTATGGAATTTAATCTTTGTTTTAGAATATAGATTTAGCATTAAATTTAATTGGAGATACACAAAAAACTCCCACTCTTCTTTTTCATTATGTTTGTTTACAAAAAGCTGAAGTTTTATATGCAGATGGTGAATTTGAATTAGGTTGAGTAATGATTTTTACCAAAAAAAAAAAAAAAAAAGGAAAAAAATCTCATTAAATTATTTAAAATAGCATTAATGTATTTTCATCGTGCTAATAAAGTTAAACCAGCACAACAAACATGTATTGAAGGTGTTCGAAAAACAACAGAAATTCTTGAATGTACTATTTGTAATCCACATATACATTTAACAATTACAAGTAATTTAGTCAATATTCAAGATAAACAAATAAATAAAACAAATTTACTTAATCGACCACCCATACGAAAACCATTACCTTCAATTGAAATACCATTAACAGAATATACTGATAAAGAAGCAAATCGACTTTTGATAGAAGTAGCAAAAGATCGTAGATTATTAATTAATCTTTATAAAGATAAACAATCTTCAGTTGGTTTGTATTTGAATATATTCTTAATTATATTCATATGGTTTTGTTTTTACAAAGGTTTTACTGGTTTGGATAAAGCAAAAACTGATGCACATCAATCTATATCTATTATTGAATCTCAACTGAAATTTCTTGATAAAGCTGAATGTCTACATGTTAATGAAAATTTTTCACGAGAAAATATTATTTGTACATCAGAGACAGATCGAACAACTCTTGCTCGTATAGCTGAAGAAGAACTTATGTATTTACAAAAATTACCATCAAAAGAAAAGAGTATTGAGGTAAATAAAATAATAACAACGTTAAGTTTTATATCGAATAGGTGATTTCACATACAATGTGTAAAGTATAATATTCAGCTATTTTGCATGAAATTTAAGCACATCATTTTAGATATTTATAGTCTAGTAGAGTAAATATATATTACATAATGACAACAGGGCTACAATTTGATGAAAGCAGTAACTCAATTCATGGGTAACCATCTTGACATAATGGAAAGACAAGGCAGTTGATCAGATTTATGATAAATTCTGAGCATCACTATATCGAAAGATCAAAATGCCGATTTATTTAAACGTCGACACAATACACAAGAAACAGAGAACATACTCACCCACATCCTCACTATGCCTTACTAATTGCTTGATCGTTTCATCTTCTTTTCCGTAATCGACTGTTTATGTTTTCAGTTTCCACGCTGGTAAACACATATTTCTACATTAGCGAAGTAAATCGATGATAAATGGCTCCTTTCAAAAGATCTACTTAGTTCTTCCGGTACTTTAAATCGACAGTGTGGAAAATAAAAGCTTGACAAAACACAAATGTCTATTTCAAAAAAAACCGCGGTGAAGTCACATCGAATCTTATATTACAGATTTTCCTAAAATTCTTTTCACAACAAATCCTTGAAAAATTGACAGAGAATTTCAACTAGAATACCTATGACACCTGAATAATTAAATCTAAAAATCTATGGCTTGTATAGTTTTATAGACCTTCCGTTATCAGTCTGAATGCATATCTGATCAATGAAAATTTGCTATAATCACCTCACAAGATACATTTTTTTTTTCAAAAAAGTCGATTAAAAACATTAAAATAACACTTCAAAAAAACTTGTAATACTATAGAAAAATTCCTCTATCTTAGATTCTATATCGTTCAATGAAAATTATCAATTGTCTTCATTCATCTGATAATACAAACAATACAGTTGATCTTCGTACACGTTTAATGCTTGCTGAAGCATTTCGATTAGTTGGACAATCTTATAATGAAATAAAATTATATGATCAAAGTTTTGAAAATTATAAACAAGCATATGATATATTATTACCATTAAAAGATCAAAGTTGTCTTTATCGAGCTTTATATGATATAGCTCGAAGTTTATTATTAGCAAATAAATATTCTCAATCAATTGAAATATTTAATGAAATGCTTAATAAAGCAACATCCGATAATGAACGTGCATTTGTTTATCAATATTTAAGTTTTTCTTATTTAAATTTAAATAATTATGATCAAGCAAAAAAATATGCATATGAATGTCTTGATTATGCCTCAATATCAAATGAAGAATTAATACGTATTGAAGCAAATATACTTTTAGGTAAAATTTATTTTGAATTAAAAGATTTTCAACGTTCAGAAGAATATATAATTTATGCACAAAATCTTAAAGATCAATTAGGTGATTTAAATCAAATGAAATATTTAGATGAATTAATATGTAATATTAAAAATCATAAAGAAAAAATTT